TTTTTTTGGCTGTGTTATTGTGTCATTGAGAAATTGAAAATTTCACACCTGTCCTTTGAGATTGGACGTCGTCCACGTCCGAATTCCGGTCGGCGCGCCGCGGGTAGGGTTCCACATTGAAGAAAAAAACTGAGATGCCTGAAAATTAAATTGGGGAAAGAACGAAATGTAATATGTACATAAGGGTAAAGTGGTATTTTTTGTGTTATCACCTTATTTAATCCAGTGAAGTAATTGAAGAATTGGTTTCTCAAAATTTCATCCCACAAAGTAAACAGAGGACTAATTGCTGACGTGTAAAATTGTCCTGATTATTTTATCTTATCCCATCACAGAAAGTAAATGAGCCCTAAAAGTATTAATTAACTTGTACAGTATTCTTAATTATTAATGACAAACACACAATTTAAAGTGGCTCAAACAGTGGACGAGGTTCATAATAACATAACAGAACTAAAAAGATCAGAAGTCTTGAGTTTGGAATTCATGTAAAAGAATCAAACAGGATTTTATAGTGATAACTAAAATAACAGACAAAAGGGATAAAAATAGCATACATTCCTGCACATGGATTAAAGACAAACTATGTTCGAAAGGGTTACCATTTCTCACATCGAGTAGAATGATCTTGGTGTTCTTTCTACTCAATGAGTTACCAGTCTTATTAACTGTTTCCAGCCTGTTCCTCCATTCAAATGGTGTAAGGGATGTAGCTCTCATTGACCGATCGAGCAAAGGTAGATGTGAAGTTCCCTCTTCCAACTGCAAACAACGCATTTAGTATAGAGGTAGTTGTACAACATATGTTCAATGCTGGGTGTGTATACTTCAGCACTTACCCAAATTCTGTGCCTTTATATCAGAAAAGCATAAGAACCTCATAACCCAAGCATATTAATATACTTAATGTTCTGTCATTTTATTTATGTTACGCTTCAGTGCAATGCCACTCATATACTTGTTAGACAGTTAAAGAGAAGTAATGAGAATCTCGCTTGCCTGCACGAGTGATGGCTTATAACGCAGCTTCAATTTCGGAAATGCATGGCCATTTATAGCTGGAGATGTCTGAACCAACATGTCAGAAAACCTGTCGTCTTCCCTAACCCATTTAACATATGCTAGGGCATCTTTAGATGGCCCACTGTACTGCAAGCAATGAAGTATCCAGTCAACAAATATGCTGAAAAAGAAAAATTATTCATTCAAGTAGTAGCAGCTCTGGCGAATTAGGATTTCTACCATCCGTTTCAAGTTAAAGGGTCAAGGTAGCTAAACTGTTACCATGGTATGCCAAATGCACAACGAAATACTTTAAGCATAACTTGTTTAATAATTTCGTACTACTAACTAAAAAGTGGCATTTTTCCGAAATTTCCTTCATATATCTAAAAGAAACAGAGGACAAGGGAAAATAAAAAGATATACCTGAGCATTAATCCCTTGCTCGTTCAGGTATATACGACCATGTATATCCCGCCCCTAAAACGAGAATCCAAAGGCAGACTGAGACAGTTACTAATGAAGAAGGAAACAGTATGTAGTTCAGGCATATGGTCAAACAAAATCAACTTGAATGTGATATAATAGCTGATTTAGTCCCTATCCTCATTGTTTAAACCTAACCAAATCTCATCTTAATAGGTGCACTTCAAATTCTCATGCACAAGCATAGCAATATCTGGTGAAGGCCATCATCACCACTAAGAAAAGGATTATATACTCCATTCCAGCAGAGCAGCTCGTATTTATTTCTTGATAGTAATACTCTCACCTTAAATTCTACTAAGTACAACCGTTTCAATGAACTCAAATTTGAACCTTAAAAATGACACACTGGAAATAATAATCACTCATAGCAAAAACCATAATGCGAAAATAAATAAAGCAGTAAAAAAAAAAAAGCAATGAAAGAGAGAAAGAGGCCTGCATGAAAGCGAGGTGTTTAGAAACATCCTCTCGAGGGTTTTCTACAAACACGAATCTGTAAAAATTAACTACTATCAGTTGTTCATCCTCATTTTGGTATCCGTTAGGAGCTCCGTGTATCTCTACGACCTCCACCCTGTTGCCGGACGAAGAAGATAATGCTGAAAGATTGAACCTTTTTCTATAATTCCGGCAAGTTCTGCCCAAAACAGGAATTTTGCAGCACCCCGTAAAATTAATGGAAATGGCATTTCGTGTTTCATTGTGGAAAGATGAAAGTTTTTGAATTTTACTGGCTGCGGAATAATGGGGTTTGGATAAATGGGTCGTGGTGATAAGAGGAGGAGCATAAGGAGAAGTCGCCGCCATACTTGAGTCACTGGTGATTTTCTCCACTCCAGAGACTCTACTAGGACATGGCAATTTCTCAATTTTCTTCTTCGTGAACTATAAAAGGATATATGTTTGGAGGGAAAAGGGAAGCAAAGGAGAGGAAGAAGGGATTTTAATATGGGAAAGGGAATGGAAGAGGAGGAGGTAGAAGATAAACAATTTTGGGTCTGATTTACAAACCACTGAACCAGATAGACCCTCACAAAGAAATTTAGGGCTTGATTATTTTTGAAATAATTTGTTCAAAGTGAGTTATTTTAGTTAATTATAATTAATTTTGAAAATATAGTATGGTTAGTTGTTAGTGGAATTTTAATAATATATTAAAATAATATTTATAATAAAATGATTAAAATTGATTTGATGTAAAAGTAAGAGATAAATGATTGGAAATGATAGGTAGTTAAAAATATGTGAGTTGATGAATAGTGAATTAAAATTGATGTGATGTGTAAGAATGATTGGTTTGTATTATATAATTATATGAATAATATTAAAGATAGTGGAGTTGAGTTAAAGTTGATTTAAATTTTGAGTTGAAATAAAAGTGAGTAAATTAAGCAAGCCCTTAGGTTTGCGTTCGGGTGTTTCCTCGTTTGGGGTCGTTCCACATTACCTCGTTTGGGGTCGTTCCACATCACCCCGCTGGGGTCGTTTTATTTTGTCCGTGTCGTTGGTTATTGTGTTGGTGTTTGAGTCGTTTTCTTTCTAGCTTTGCTAGCGATTCTAGGCGGACTTCGGTCTAGCCTCCAAGTTTGTATTTTCGCACATTTGTGCGCTTATTTATAGTACTTCTATCGTTCCGACATAAAAACAATATATTGAAACCTTGAGACAAAAAAAAGTTACTATAGATTAATAAGATAATAATACAGGAAAACAGTAGTCTCGTTACGGAACTATTCCATTGTGATCTATAGCCGATAGGTTATCATGTAACCGTCGTGGATAGTTGATCTAACGGTTATAAATTCTGACGGAATGGGTCCGTAATGGGACATTAGAATCTCCCTTTATGGTTTAATCTACAAACGTCGCAGAACTCAAATTGTTGTGGTTCCTTGCTCTTCCTCTTCATCTCATCTCATACTGGAACTTAGGGTTAGAAGGCTATGCTGATTTGAGAATATACAAAGTCGGTGAGTGCCACCAGTTGATGCAGCCGCTGTAAACGAACGATGCTCCACAATTGCGTTCTACAAATATTGCTTTGGAGTTTTGATATAACAATGGTCATTCATTCCTTTCCTATAATTTTTTTTTCAATTATATTGAATATAGTGTTTTATACATTTTGATAAAATATAAATAAAAATACATCTTGATATAATGAACACATATAAGTTATTTTGTGTATTAATTTATTTTTCTATATAACTTAAATTACATATTTAAAAAAAAAAAATATATATATTGATATTTTTTCAAAATGTATTACTTCAAAACTCTCATTACATGAATGTAAACTGTAGAGGTTTTATAAGTGGTAATCTCTATTTCTATCTCTATCTCTATCTCTATCTATATCTCTATCTCTATCTCTATCTCTATCTCTACTAACTTAAAAGGCTCAATATTTTTGTAAAAATTTGTGTTCACTAAAATACCCTCTATATCTCTATCTCTATCTCTACTAACTTAAAAGGCTCAATGTTTTTGTAAAAATTTGTGTTCACTAAAATACCCTCTATATCTCTATTCTCTATCTCTATCTCTATCTCTATCTCTATCTCTACTAACTTAAAAGGCTCAATGTTTTTGTAAAAATTTGTGTTCACTAAAATACCCTCTATAAATCATAATTTGTTAATGCTTTGTAATGGCAAAAAAGTACTTTACATGTTTTTCAACTATCTTAATAGACAAAATTATCCTTTCTCTGTTGATATTTTAATGGCTTAATTGTCATTTTGTTAAAAGTCATTTAATGAGAGAGTAATCTTGATTTTAATGACCTAATTACAAATCATGTATGTACGTTTGGTTTGGTTTTCGTTTTATTGTTTAAGTATTTTTTTTATTTTTACTTTAGTCAATATTATATTACCCCAAGTAATATGATATATTGAAAGCAGGTTTAGTAGATTTGGGGAATAATAATCAACAATATTATAACTTTTATGAAATTTTATGGATTTTATGAATTAAACAACAGTTATCGTCAACACTTATATAATAAAATAAATTAATAAACCGATATTATTTTAAAGTTTCAGTTGCTTTTGTGCCGACCGAAACACATGCGGTTGAGAAATAAACTACTAAAGTGCAAAAAGCTTGTGAAACTTTTAACTAACACTAGCTTATCTATCCGTACAACGCATAATTATAACACAATAATTAAACTCATATATTATTAAATAATATTTTATTATATTTTCTTAATAACAATTTGATATTTAACTTATATTATTTTATAATTTATTAATTAATTATACATTTCAATTAATAATATTTATTTTCTTTTGAGTAATAATAGACGACCTATTATATTTTCATTTCTTTGTCTGTAATCGGTGCTTGAAATAGTTTTTTTTATCTCTTGTTCGTATTTATATTTAGTTTCTACATAATGATTTTCAACCTAATGTCGTATAACATGTGGTACCTTATGTTGGATAATTTTTTATATAATAAAATTAATTAATAAACTTGACACACATTTTTATTTTTTTATTATAATTATTAAAAAAATTATATTTATTTTATCACAATTGATATTATCTTTTCATTGTATTTACCCATGAGATTTGAACCAAAAGTCACCATGTTACATACTTATTTGTGGAGTAAATAGTAATTTTTCTCATTCTATTTTCTTAGTGTCTATATAAAATATTTATAGATAATATACACAAATTATTATATAAATTTAGTTTAAATTATTTTAAAATTTCAATGCCTTTTGCTCGAAAAATATTTTTTATAACCAGGGGTTTTTTATGTAGATTGACCACACTAAGTAAATAAAATATAAACTTAAAACATCAAAGACACCAAGAAAATTGCAACAACATAGATCTATGGTACATGTCTATTAGAATTTAAAATTATTTGCTTCAATATAAAAATATATCTTAATTTTGGTAGATTATCATATTTACAGTTCAATCATCCATATAAGACAACTATTTAACCAAATTAGTTAGTCATAACATTTTCAGTTATAATGACATTAATGGTTTATAAAATAATGTACACATTAAATTGTGTATAGAACAAAAAAAACAACTCTCTTATTTTGTCCAAAAACACTTTGGGCAGGAAACATCCGCACAAAAATAGCATTAGAAGTTGGCTAATCTTTTTATACAAATGTAATTGTTGGTGAGTGGGTGTGTGTGGATACGGATGAACAATTTTTTTATATAGTTAACCATGATTAATTTTAAAAATCAAAAACTTGATTTGATTAGTTGTTAGTGAGATATTTAAAATAAAATGATTAAAACTGATTAGATGTAAAAGTAGATATAAATGATTATCCTCCCTATATATAATTTCAGAATACGCTGAGCCTACGTGACTGCTTCTGGTGTTTCGGAATCCTATTTAGCGAAGAATCATGCTTCGTAATTAGGTTTGGATAAATAATATTGATATATTAATAATTAATAATCTAGGTTCGGGTATTCCATAAATATTATTGAGCTAATTTAGGTATTTTAATATCACTTTTACTAATATAACTCTTTAATTATTTGTAATTTTACATAGTGAGGCACTAAGTGACTAATATATCCCTGAATTTTGATTTTTTTCCTTCAATAAGCTATTGAATTATAAATGTCTTTTAAAAGTTGATAACTTTTGTATTTCTTATCGGTTTTACATATATAATATATCAAATTAATCATCTTTGATGATCTTCGATTTGACATTCATATTGTATATATATGTAATAAATAAATTATATTTATCTTTCTAATAATAAAAAATAATAATATTTATTGAATTCATCAGAAAAATAAAATTATTTTTTAATTGATATATTTATATGTAATATAGTTATATATTGTAAGTTAAAAAAATTAGTATAATATAACACAAGTTGCACAAATAAAAAGTGTCATAATAAATATATAATAATATATATATTCTAATAAATTTTCAAACTACTTTTTTCTCATTAATTTTAGATTTTAAGAAAATAATTAGCAAGCACCCGTGTAATACACGGGTGTTGTACTAGTAAGTGATAGATAGTTAAAACTATGTGAATGAACCTATTTTTTTAAATAAAATATCTATTTTATGGTATGTTAATACTCATAAATTTTACTTTATAAGATAATTTATGATTTTATTTGATATTTTTTAATTCAGTTTAATATATTATATAACTATAGATTTTTTTTATGAATATTGACCAAATTAAGTAAATAATGTAAAATATAAACTTGAAACATCAGAGATATAAGTAAAATGCAAGAGTATAGATCTATTGCACATGTCTATAAAAATATAAAATTATTTGATTCAATATAAAAATATAACTTAATTTTGATATTTTGTCATATTTACAATTCAATCATTCATATAAAACAACTATTTAATCAAATTAGTTAGTAATAACATTTCAAATATAATGACATTAATGGTTTATAAAATAGTGAAAACATTAAATAGTGTACAACATTAAAAAAACAACTTTCTTATTTCGTTAAAAAAACATTGGGCGGGAAACATCCATACAAAAATAGCATGAGAAGTTGGCTAATCTTTTTATACAGATGTAAATTGTTGGTGAGTGGTGTGTGTGGATACAAATAAACTAAATTTTTATATAGTTAACCATGATTAATTTTAAAAGTTGATTTGATTAATTGTTAGTGAGATATTAAAATAATATTCAAAATAAAATAAATAAAATTGATTTTATGTAAAACTGATTTATCTCCTAGGAGATAAATGATTGTAAGTGATAGATAATTAATATTTTGTGAGTTAGATGAATAATTTATATATTCGTTTGA